GCCTCCCAAGTAGCTGGGACCACAGGCGCCCGCCACAACGCCCGGCCATTTTTTTTTTAGTTGCAGCCATCATTGTTGTTTGGCGGGCCTGGGCTGGGGATTTGAACCTGCCACCTTAGGTGTATGTGGCTGACGCCTTAGCCGCTTGAGCCACAGGCGCCGAGCCCCAAATCACATTTTCTCACTGAACATTTCAGGAATGGATTGCTTATGTTAAATGCCTAGCAATGTGGGTATTATTTTACACACATGTAAATACACAGAAAAAGGCCCAGAAGGACACACACCTAACCAATTAACAGCAGTTACTTCTGGAGGGTAAGGGGAGGGTGAGAAGGGGTAGTAATGAAGGAGGATAATCAAGGACTTTCGCTTTCCTGGTACTGTTTGTATATATTACAAGGAGACTATATTTGTATATTTACTGGTGTAATTAAAAATAAATAAAAATAATAGGAAAAATAAAACTAAGAAAGGTTACAAAGCTGTTCTTTGAAGAAATAAAATTATGGCTCAGTGCCCGTAGCACAGTGGTTATGTTACCAGCCACATGCACCAAGGGTAGTGGGTTCCAACCCAGCCTGGGCCAGCAACTACAACAAAAAAATAGCCAGGATTGTGTCAGGCGCCTGTAGTCCCAGCTACTTGGGAGGCTGGATTGTTTAAGCCCAAGAGTTTGAGGTTGCTGTGAGCTGTGACGTCATGGCACTCTACTGAGGGCGACATAGTGAGATACTGTCTCAAAAAAAAAAAAAAAAGAAAAATGAAAATATAAAAGTATGAGAAGGAACTGAGAATATTTTGGGGGAGAGATAAATAGGTAAGAAATCTTACTAGGAAGTTTTACCATGTATTTTATGAAGTGTTTACTTTTTCATGACTTTTTTGAGAGATTTCAGGAAAAGCTGACTTTACTTTTCATATCTTCTTATGGCGGATGTGTGTGTGTGTGATGGTGGGAGGGTATTGGATGTTATCTTGAACTTGTCTCAGGGTGGCCCAGCTTTATCTGGGTTACATATATGAGGACTCTTCATCTTTCAACACTCTCTGCCTCAATGCGTGGCTTAATTCTCAGCAGAGACTCAGCACATGGCAGAAAAGATGACCCAAAGCAGCCTCATGCCTACAGGCCTATATCCTCTTGATTAAAGGGGAAAATATCAACCACGGAGACGTTCTCCCTTGGGATCCATAGGAAAATCTCAGGGAAAACTGTCGTTGGTCCTGCTTGGAGCACATGCCCAGACCTGAGTCTGCCACTGTGGTCAGGCAACTGGATACCAGGACATTGATGCCTGGCACAATGTAAGATCTCTTCAAGTCAAAGCCATTATCATTACTTTTCTAGTTATTTTTCTGAGAAGAAGGTTTTTTTGTTTTTTTTGAGACAGAGTCTCACTTTGTTGCCCTTGGTAGATTGTCATGGAGTCACAGCTCACAGCAACCTCAAACTCTTGGGCTCAAGCAGTTCTCTTGCCTCAGTCTCCTGAGTAGCTGGGACTACAGTGCCCACCACAATGCCCAGCTATTTTTAGAGATGGGGTCTCACTCTGGCTCAGGCAGGTCTCAAACGCATGAGCTTAGGCAATCCACTGGCCTTGGCCTCTCAGAGTGCTAGGATTATAGGTGTGAGCCACTGTGCCTGGCCAAGAAGGAGGTACTTTTGAAGGAGTTAGTCTGGTGTGGTAGGAAAAGACCTGGATTGGAGTCTGCTACCAGCCTGTTTATTTGAGCTTTGCAAGTCATCTAGGGGGTAACATTTACTTCATATCTACTCTAAGGCTGGTGCATTCGTGCCATTTTATTTCACATGCTACTTTATTTCATTTTTACTGCAACCCTGTGAGGTGGCTATTATTATCCCTATTTTAGAGATGAAGAAACTGAGGTTTGGAGAGAAGTTAAGTAGTTTGCTAAAATTAGTATCAAGGTTTGTTCCCAAAGTTCAAGTGCTTTAGGCTATGACATTCTGTTCTCAATTTCATTGCTCTATTTCCTCATCTATAATGTGGAGATAATAAGAATACTTCTGTGCAGTGCCTGTAGCTCAGTGGTTAGGACTCTGGCCATATACACTGAGGCTAGTGGGTTAAAATCCGGCCCGGGCCAGCTGAAACAACAATGTCAACTGCAACAACAATGATAACAATAACAAAAATAGCTGGGCATTGTGGCAGATGCCTATAGTCCCAGCTACTTGCGAGGCTGAGGCAAGAGAATCCCGTTAAGCCCAAGAATTTGAGGTTACTGTGATGCCATGACACTCTACCCAGGGCACAGCTTGAGACTCTATCTCAAAATAAACAAACAAACAAACAAACAAAAAACCCACAAAAAACCAATAAATCCTCCTTCACAGGGAATTGATGGTCAAATGAGCAACATACTTAAAAGTGGTCTGTCAATGTTTTTTTTTTTTTTTTTGAGATAGAGCCTCAAGCTGTTGCCCTGGGTACAGTGTCATGGCATCACAGCTCACAGCAACCTCCAACTCCTGGGCTTAAGCAATTCTCTTGCCTCAGTCTCCCGAGTAGCTGGGACTACAGGTGCCCCTCACAATGCCTGGCTATTTTTTGGTTGTAGGTGGTGTTTGGCAGGCCTGGGCTGGATTCGAACCTGCCAGCTCTGGTGTATGTGGCTGGCGCCTTACCTGCTTGAGCTACAGGTGCTGAGCCAGATCTGTCAATGTTAAAATGGCATACAAATAAAAATTATAAATTTCCCTACTGCTCAAAATGTGCATTTGGGGATGCTGCTGACATTGAAAAGTGCTTGGTGGTTGTGAAAGTTCAGATATAAAGAATGTCAAAACTGGCTCGGCGCCTGTGGCTCAAGTGGCTAAGGCACCAGCCATATACACCTAAGGTGGCGGGTTGGAATCCAGCGTGGGCCCGCCAAACAACAATGATGGCTGCAACTGAAAAATAGCCAGGCGTTGTGGTGGGCACCTGCTGAGGCAGGAGAATCACTTGAGCCCAGGAGTTGGAGGTTGCTGTGAGTTGTGATGCCATGGCACTCTACCTAGGGCAACAGCTTGAGGCTCTATCTCAAAAAAAAAAAAGAATGTCAAAACTGAAAGAATTTGTAGAGAGTACCTGATCTGTTAGCTATCCCCCTGACCTATTTCATGTGGTCCCACTGAGGTTGTCAATCACAGTGACCAACTGCCCTCACCATCCACTCACACACAGGCAGGGGCAGGCACATGACCCAGTCCCGGCAAATGGTGGTACTATAAAGGGATTGGTCCAGAATACACATGTGGCCATGGAGAATTGGTTATCTTCAGATTTGCTCTATGGATCAAACCATGAGGAAGCCTGAGCCCATTATTTGCTATTTCAGATCTTCTAGCTAGCCTCTGTGAAGATGAAATTGACACACAGAGAGAGGCAGAGCTTTGACAATGTTAATTGAGCTCCTTGATCCAGCCATTCCTGAAGCTCACCTCTGTTTTATGAGCCTATAAACTCTATTTGGGGCTAAAAATTGGGTTTCTGTCACTTGCAACCAAAAGAGTTCTGAATAATGTTTTAGGAGACTTGCCCAAAGTCACAGAGCAAACCAAAGGTATAGTCGATACAGAAATACAAGATTCAATGCCTTGTATTCCTTTTGAAATACACTGCTTTTTTTTTTTTTTTTTGTAGTTTTTGGCCAGGGCTGGGTTTGAACCCACCACCTCTGGTATATGGGGCCTGTGCCCTACTCCTTTGAGCCACAGGTACCACCCCTACACTGCTTTGTTTATAAAGAAACAGTATTTGACTTATAATCAAAGGGATTAATGCTAGTTTTAGAAATTTTAGATGCTGTCATCCCCAGGTGGGAACAGGAGGGGTAGGCTCTGGGATTCTTACCTTCCTCTCCACTGTCCCCCCGGTCCCCGTCCTGGCCATCCTGGCCGTCTTTGCCAGGAAAACCCATTCGTCCCACCATTCCTGAGGGCCCTGGGGCTCCTGGAGGACCAGGTGGGCCCTGGGGGCCAGGCAGGCTGCAAATGAGTTGAGGGGAGCCTTTCTGGAAGTCCCTGCGAGTGAAGGCGCCAAGCAGTGGGTCAGCAGCACAGGGTAGGGCACAAGCCAAGAGCACCCAGGGGATCATGGTGGTGACCTGTGGAGGCAAGAGAGCTGTGGCAGTCCAAAAGACCAAAAATCACTTTATAACAAAGATATTTGTACCAGATTGTTCATTGCAGCTCAATTCATAATAGCCAAGTCATGGAAGAAGCCCAAGTGTCCACTGACCCATGAATTGATTAATAAATTGTGGTATATGTATACCATGGAATATTATGCAGCCTTAAAAAGGAGGGAGACTTTACCTCTTTTACGTTTACATGGATGGTGCTGTAACATATCCTACTTAGTAAAGTATCTCAAGAATGGAAGAAAAAATATCCAATGTACTCAGTACTATTATGAAACCAATTTACAATCACTCACACTTTCATATGAAGAATAGATCACAACTATGGCCCAAGATGAAGGAGGGAGAAGGGGGGAGGGGAGGGGAGGTAGGGTGAATAGTGGGATCACACCTATGGTGCATAATGCAAGGGTACATGTTGAATCTATTAGTATAGAGTATAAATATCTTAGCACAATAACTAAGTAAACGAGATGAGGTATATATTAACCAGTGTGATGTAAGTGTTCCTAATTCTACATGAAATCAGCACATAAACGCATTAATGTATACATGATCTATGTGTTTATGATTTAATAAAAAAAATAAAAGAGAGAGAGAGAGAGCTGTGGCAGGTGAGTGTGGCTACCAAGCTGAGCTAGTGTTCGGCTAGAGGGAACACAGAGGAGAAGTGGAGCCAGCTGGGATAGACTCAGTTGTGTTCTGTCTCTTGCTCTTTCCCGCAGCACACACAAACAGCTGGAGAGGGTGTCATCATATCTTGAGGACATATTTGGACAAGCTAAGTCATGTACCCAGAATATATTTTGGAGGGGTCTTGGTGGTGAGGCACTCATCATCAGACTATCATCTTCCGTAGTGGCTGAGATGGATGCAGGACTTATGGCCCAAAGACTGATGACTGGAAGAAGCTGTGGATAGAGAACAATAATCCATGGTTTCATTCAAATAGGTGGTACGAAAGGAAAGTTAAAAGTGCAGAAATACTTCACATAGTAGGTGACAATTTGCAACAATGCTGCTTCTCACGGGAGCCACGGTGCCACACATGAGGAGAGGTGAAGATTCAGTTATTGAATGAAGGCGAGCCACCATGTGAGCAGCCTGGCAGTCCATGGGAGCAGCTCCTCTTCTAGCACATCCTGTGTGCCAGGCACATGTTAAGAGCTTTCCATTTGCTACTTGATCTTCACAACACATTTATAGAACAGATAGAGGTAAGATGGAGGTTCAGAGAAGCTGAATTAAGTGCCTAGGTGATGCAATTAGCAGGTTTGAACAGGGTCTCCAGATCTAGAGCCTGTGGCTTCCTGTCCCAGGCTAGACTGTGCCCTTGAGGCTGACGACAGCAATAGCACGACCCCATCAGAGATCAGTGTGCTATGCACCCAGAGATTATCCACTCCTCACCACTCACTATGCACATGCAGAAATTGAGGCTCAGAGCAGAAAAAAGCAATTTGCCCATAATCTCTCAACAAATTGGTTCTGTTCCTTTGTAATCAATGGCCTCTCTCCCAGAAATGAAACGAGGAGAGGGAGCATTCCAGGTATGACTTTCTGCCATGGAGATGAGCTATGAAGTGGTAACTTGGTTTGTGACCTTAAACAAGCCCTTCTTATTCTCTGGGTCTCAGTTTCCCCACCTGAACAACAAGGGGTTGTACTAGAGCAGCAGTCCCCAAACTTGAATGTGCATTAGACTTACCTTGAAGGCTTGTTAAAATATAGACTGTTTGGCCTCACTTCAGATTTTCTGATTCATTAGTTCTAGGGTAGGGCACGACAATTTGTATTTCTTTTTCTTTTCTTTTCTTTTTTTTTTAGAGACAGATTCTCACTTTGTTGCCCTCAGTAGAGTGTCATGGCATCACAGCTCACAGCAAACTTCAGCTCTTGGGCTTAGATGATTCTCTCGCCTCAGCCTCCTGAGTAGCTGGAACTACAAGTGCCCACCACAACACCCAGCTATTTTTTGGTTGCAGTTTGGCTGGGGCTGGGTTCGAACCCGCCACCCTCAGTATATGGAGCTGGTGCCCTACTCACTGAGCCACAGGTGCCACCTGATAACTTGTATTTCTAATAAGTTTCCAAATGATGCCACTGATGGTGGTCTGGGGACTCCACTGTAAATCACTAGACTAGATGTTCTCTAGGGTTCCTTCTAGCTCTGACACTGAACCTTTCAGGCTCCAATCTGCCTACTCTTGGCAGAAGCGAAGCACTGTTTGCTTCACTTCTCTCACTCAGTCTTTGGCTACCTAATCAGAGGCTTCAAACATCAGGGGGCATCTTGGTGGCTATGATATTGACAGCAGGGCAAGGACATTGCCCAGGCCATGACCCTTGGAGTTCATGTTTTCTTCCTGGTCCCTCAATCTCCTTTCCCTTCAGACTCTGCTATTCCCCTGACCCTTGGAGAATACTCTGGCTTTTAGGCTACGCTTGGCTGCTTTCCTTGGAAACAGGTTGACCCTACCACTCTTTGTAGCTTCCTGCAGGATCTTTAAGGGGACAGAATACCAGGTCTCTCCTGCCAGGGAGAGGAGGAGAGAACATAGCACTGTACTGCTTAGGACACAGGGGTCTTAGTTTCAGCTCTGATGTTCACCAGTGGTGTGTCATTGGTCAAGTCACTTTTCTGAACTCAGAGGACTTTTTTAGATAAGTGTCACAGAGATGCCACTGAGCAGGTAAAGATGATTTAGGCAGCACTGGATAGTGCTTTATACAACATCATATCACATAGCAACAAAGTCATTTTGTTTTCAATTTCTTCATCCTAATTAAGAAAAAAAGTTTCAGCTTGATGACAGTATATCTTTACTATCTTTAAACCCCTGCTAATATCTCTGTCTACCATAGAGCACACTTATTTGCAGCAGTGTGCTGTTTTTCCTCATAGTAGTTCATTTATTCAACAAGTATTTATTGTTTATCAAGCATGAGACACTGTTCTTTGAGAATATATCTGTAAAACATGGAGTCCAGAGTCCCTCTTGGAATTTACATTTTTATGGGAAGAAAGACAATAAATATAAATAAGTAAAATATTTAGTACATAGTTACATGTAGAGAAGGAAAAAGGCAGGGAAAGGGGACCTCGAACCTTAAACAAGAAGTTTATATTTTTTACTGGGGGATAGAGAGTGTGTCACTGTGAGGTGACTTGTTAAAAAAGGCTTCTGTTTGTGGGTATTGTCCGGTAAAGTGGACACTCAAGCTGAGTGCAGTGGTGCATGCCTGTAGATCTAGCTACTTGGGAGGTTGAAGCAGGAGATTTGGTTGAGCCCAGGAGTTCTAGGTTGTGCTGTTCATGACTGTGCCTGTGAATAGCCATTGCACTCAAGCTTGGGCAGCATAGTGAGACTCTGTCTCACAAAATAAAAACAAAAATATGGCATGGTGGTTTATGTTTATAATCCTAGCACTCTGAGTAGCTGAGGAGAGTGGAGTGCTTGAGCTCAGAGGTTTGAGACCGGCTCGAGCAAGAGCAAGACCCTCCTCATCTCTACTAAAAATAGAAAAAATTAGCCTAGTACTGTGGTATGCTCCTGTAGTTCCAGCTACTTGGGAGGCTGAGGTAGGAGGATCACTTGAGCCCAGGACTTTGAGGATGCTGCATACTAGGCCAAGGCCATGGCACTTTACCCTAGACAACAGAGTGAGACTCTGTCTCAAAAACAAACAAAAAACAAGGATGCTCATAACCTACGGAGGTGGGCATTCTATCAGGAGTGCTTCTGAGTTTCCTGTGGAGCCTCCTTTTGTGCCTGTGCTCTAATTTCCTATGGGAGTCATGATGCAAAGATCACATCACACATAGTACATATCCATTCTTAAAGACTCTTGGGCAGGCCCCCAGAAACATACGTGGAGACCTTGGAAACCCTCAGGCAGAAACACAGAGCCAGGGGATGACACAGAACAACTACTAGGGGCCAAGGAAGGTCTGTGGCACCACATAAACAAACAGACATGGAGAGTGGTACACATTAGCTTTTGTATCTAGTTGTCTGGAAAGGTGGCAAAAAATAAGTGGATGAGCATAAGAGGATAGTAAAATTGAAAGTCCTGCTTGGGCACCAAGACAATGAAATGCTGCATATCAAATGGAGGGGTTAGGCCCAAGTCAGAATTTGCAAAGGAACAGTGTGACAGTCTATCCTCCAGCTCTTGCCAGCTCTGGCACTCTTGCCAGATCAAAAATTTAAAAATGTGGCTCAGTGCCCGTAGCTCAGTGGTTACAGTGCCAGCCACATACACTGGGGCTGGCAGGCTCAAACCTGGCTGGGGCCTGCTAAACAACAATGACAACTACAACAACAACAAAAACAGCTGGGCGCTGTGGCGGGCACTTGTAGTCCCAGCTACTTGGGAGACTGAGGCAACAGAATCTCAAAGCCCAAGAGTCTGAGGTTGCTGTGAGCTGTGATGCCATAGCACTCTACCAAGGGGGACTTAGTGAGACTGTCTCAAAAAAAAATGTGACCCACAGCATTGAGAGCAGGAGGGAGAATGGACCCTGTCTGAAGCCTGCAGGAGAAAGCTAGAGGGGAGAAACTGGCAAGATGCCTGGGGCAAAGGGTCTGACTACACTACCTTCTTGCCCTCCTAAGTGACATGGAACACATGGAGGGACCCTGGTAGATTCACGCTTGGCTGGAGGAGCAGGATAAAGTATTACCTTTGAATGAAGATTGAAGTGTGGGTGCACAGAGTGGAGATTCAACCAGGCAAAAGGGGGAACTCCCCTCACTGGCTTAATTATAAGGAGGCAAAAATAAAGTTGTAGTTTGGTTATATTTCTGGTGTCACACTTTCTCAACCTAGATTACATAAATGATAGTAGAGGTGGTAAGTTGATAGCCAGACATCATGAAAATGTTGCATGAATGACGGGTGCTTTTATAAAACTGTGGCCTAGACACTCCCAAGGCCCTACGACTCCCCTTCTCTTT